CCCCCCCCCCCCCCCAAAAAAAAAATGCTCCATGCTCACCGGCTGCAATCAGGGCCTCTGGGGGGATCCCCCAACTCACCTGGCACCCGCATAGCAGCTGCCTCATGTCTCATGACTGTGCGCTGTCTAGGAGCTGGGGTGAGCACTGCCAGGTTCTGGGTGACTGCTGCAGCCGGTGAGTGCGGTGCTTTTTTTTGTTTTAAAGTGCTGGGAGGCTGGAGCCAGGCAGGGCAGCCCTGGGGGCTTTTCCCACGGCTCCCCCAACCCAGGGAGAGGCAGGCACAGCCAGAGGAGCCATGGGAGGAGCCATGGGAGAACCTGCAGCCACCTGGCTGTGCCTGCCTCTCCCCAGCCAATCTAAATCTCTGAATCTCTGAATTTTTCCTGAATCAGTTCAGATCCTTCGACTGATTCAGACCTTTTAATAGGTCTCCCAATTCAATTCAGCTTTTGAGATTTGGCCCCCAAATCAGGCCGAATCTCCTCTGAATCAAATCAGTGACTGAAGCTTTGCACAGCCCTAGTAGCCAGGCCCTGGAAGGCCACTAAGTATGATTGTGGAGGTCTTTAAACCCCCACCCTGGCCTGCAGGGACCCCAGCCAGGCTGTGCCTAGAGGGAGAGTGGGGAAACAGCCCTTGCCAGGCTTGTCCCTGAGGCCAGACACTGACTGGGCACCCCCTCAAGCAAAAGGTGGTGGAGGAGGATTAAACTCCCCTGGCTCTCCTCTGGGGCACAGGGACCCCCAGCCAGGGTCTGCCCAGCTTTCTCCCTGCTTGCACAATGGGGGGCCTGGCCAGAGCTGGTTGGCATGGCCCTGCCATCTGCCCAGTGCTAGAGCTGCAGGGCTGAGCCAGGCCAGTCCACAGGTGCAGCTGAGGGCGGACACACAGGGGAAAGCCCAGGCTGGACTGTGGAGGTCAGGCCTTTGTCTTGGACTGGGGGCATGGGCAATGGCTGGCAAAGCCGCAGACTGTCCAGGCTGACTTTGAAGTGCTGTTGGGCCTGGAGCCCAGCAGCTGCCTGCTGAGGGGGCTTGCAGCCCCCACTGTGTTCCTGTCCTGTGCAACACCTGTCAGCTGCAGCCGCACCACAGGCTGTGCGCTGGCTGGGGCCAGTAGGGCTCTTCTGCCTCCCTTGCCTCCAGCTGCTGCTGCCATGTGGCTCTGGGTGAGTGGGCAGAAGCTTTAGCCCCATGGCTTCTGCCCAGTTCACAGAGCTCTGGCTCCAGCTCTGGGTGCTTTCTACCCCTCCATGCCCCCTCTCCCCCCACCCCGGGGCTGCTCATCACGCCAGGCAGGCAGAACAGGTAGAA